TTATTTGCTGACCTGTATCTGTTCTAGAAGAAATGTGTAAAGAAAGGTGGTGGTTTCTTTTTGTTTTGTGTTTTTTGTTTGTTTTGTTTTTTAAAAAATCTATTTTATTGTTCCATCACAACAAGAAAGCATTGGGTTATGCTTAGGCTGTAAACCAGCTAAAATAGTACAAAGTGTGAGCATGCACAACCCTTTTAAGTTAATGAGGAAGTTGCTGGAAGCTTCAAAACATTGAAACTAACAGACACATTATTCATACAAAGTTCTGGTCTGCTCTTCTGCACTTTGAGCTTTATTATACAGTGGGAATTTAGCATTCCAAGTTAGATCTTAAAAGTATTTCTACCAATCAAAGCTTTATGCTCTGAAGTCTGCTTCAGATCAGCCTTCACAAACCAGGTAACGATGCAATACTGTATGAACCAACTTCAAACGCATGCAGCTGTATCACATGAGCGGAATCAAAGTTCACAAAACTCAGCTGGACTCAGTCCAACTTACGTACTTCTCATTTTCAAAGGCTTGGGTGAGACGGGGCTAAATGAGAGGAACTAGCCTCTATATAGTTCAAATTTAAAAGAGAAAGCACTTCAATAAAAATACATTTCATAACAACTCTTTATTACTTCATGTAAACCCCACATGTCTAGTGGAGGGCATAAAGATGACTCTATGATGGCTCTCCACTACTGCAAGTACCTTAATCCCTCCAGCAGAAGCCAGTCACCCTTGCCTAGTGGGAGAGGAAACCTGTGGAAAAGCCACATTAGGCCAGTAAGAGCCTCCTACCAGCAATAGGAATTTAATCTCTCTTGCCATAGCTCCGACCTGCGTCAGGTCTGAAACTGAAAAGTGCAAGAGACTTCCTGCAGCTCATGTGTCCCCTTAATTTTAATGTATTTTCAGATGCAACAAAAAAATGACCAAGATGTCCCACAAACTCAGAGTAAATCTATTTTTGTATTGACAAAGGTAAGGTAACACGGGTAATTTCAGTCAAGGAGCTCCCATATTGGTCTTGACCAACTGTTCTAGATGTTTTATCCATTGCCACTAGGGAAAGCTTTGACCTAAGCATTGTAATAAGTAAATGTTTTAATAGAATGATATCACTAGAACTTTTTATGTTTTCAGATTGGCTTTTAGTATTTAAAGAGCTCCCCACTATGATATGATACTATGACTGTATCAGGTCTGATGAACAACTCTGATGTTTAAGATTATTTTTGTATTAATATAGCAGCATAATGCCCAATATTGTAAATTTCATCTAACACAAAACCATCTGGACATTGAAGATTAAGTGATCCAGCTTAAGAAGGCCAGAAAAAACCCCACATTCAGAATAAATGATTAAGTATTAAAGATTGAAATGATCAGAAAGTATTTTCTTAGAAAAATATAAATCATTGTATGTGGTAAAATAAATAATTATTAGATCTATTTTCTTTAAAATATCCCATTAAGTTTCTGATACTCTTTTTCAGCACATACACAACAGGGATACACACAGAATTGACTCTTCACAGGATGAAAAAGGTATATGGATTAGAAATAACCGAGGCACATTTAAGAAGTCTGCTTCTAGTTCCCCATTAACTTGTCATTTTGATCCACAGCAGTTTCAAAACATCAACTACTGAAAATGTAAACTTGACTGTATTTGGTCAAGCAAGTTTCATACTATGCATTAATTTATTTGAAATACACTCCAAGGGTGTAGAGAGAAGTATCATCCTGGGAAGAATTTTCTGGCCCACTTCCCATTACATTGGATGCTGAACAATATTAACTGTGCTGTTCCCTGCATCAAATCTTAGACACAAAAATACTGAAGCCACTTGCAAGTCTAAGGTATATTGCTACATTATGCTTCATCTGAACTGTATTTCTTCCTGCACTTCTGGTTCTACCACAGATGCCATTTTTGTACCATCCTCATCACTTAAAAATACCACCTTCATTTTGTTTTTTATAATACTGTTTCAGTGCAACATTTTCAGAGTGCTTCTAGGACTTTAAGAGCTCTCTGTATTACTTCTTTACAGTAAAAAGAAGTGTAAAGAGACCACCTCTTACTACTTTCACAATTTATTTTAAGTAAACATACATTATTTTAAAAGTAGTTAAACCTAACTCTTTAGCTACATGGAGTTCAAATTTCAGTGTTTCCCCCAATTCTGGTGAGGGGAGTCTAATCCTTGATCCTAGTGAATTATTGATGGTGCCTATTCTTTTATATAAATCTAAAAATCTTTAATTCAAAAGGAGTTATGTGAACTTAACTTGTTTTTTTAATCAGAAAAATAAAAGGCTGCATTGCAAGCTGATTCTTAAATATTATGGAGCACAGCAGGGTCATGTGTGCAGACTTTTAAGATTAAGATTCCCAGTTAAATTAGCACATTTTCTTGTCTCTAATTTCAAGTCACTAAGGCTTGGGGCACTGTTTAACCCCAAGGAAGCAGAAAAGCCTACATTCAAACAGAGCCCCTCCCCTGCCGCAATCTGCAGCAGAGTTTCTCAGAGTAACTCTCAGCAGCTGAGAACACCCATAAATATTAAGAGACCTGGGGCAGGCTCAGAAACTGCAAGATTAATGCCACCACTCCGCAGCACAGTACTGTGGCCAGCTAACAGCATGGAGCTATGAACAGAAGCATCAAGCAAGCATGAGTACAAAACAAAGCAAGTTACAAAGCACTACTTCAAGTTTGAAGCAATAAATGCATCAAAGCCTGGGATGCCGATTACTTCACCACAACATGCAAATATAAAGAATTAGATTTTCTCTCCACCCTCTGCCTCTCAAAATGACCTGTCAAACTTGACTGTATTTGGTCAAGCAAGTTTCATACTATGCATTAATTTATTTGAAATACACTCCAAGGGTGTAGAGAGAAGTATCATCCTGGGAAGAATTTTCTGGCCCACTTCCCATTACATTGGATGCTGAACAATATTAACTGTGCTGTTCCCTGCATCAAATCTTAGACACAAAAATACTGAAGCCACTTGCAAGTCTAAGGTATATTGCTACATTATGCTTCATCTGAACTGTATTTCTTCCTGCACTTCTGGTTCTACCACAGATGCCATTTTTGTACCATCCTCATCACTTAAAAATACCACCTTCATTTTGTTTTTTATAATACTGTTTCAGTGCAACATTTTCAGAGTGCTTCTAGGACTTTAAGAGCTCTCTGTATTACTTCTTTACAGTAAAAAGAAGTGTAAAGAGACCACCTCTTACTACTTTCACAATTTATTTTAAGTAAACATACATTATTTTAAAAGTAGTTAAACCTAACTCTTTAGCTACATGGAGTTCAAATTTCAGTGTTTCCCCCAATTCTGGTGAGGGGAGTCTAATCCTTGATCCTAGTGAATTATTGATGGTGCCTATTCTTTTATATAAATCTAAAAATCTTTAATTCAAAAGGAGTTATGTGAACTTAACTTGTTTTTTTAATCAGAAAAATAAAAGGCTGCATTGCAAGCTGATTCTTAAATATTATGGAGCACAGCAGGGTCATGTGTGCAGACTTTTAAGATTAAGATTCCCAGTTAAATTAGCACATTTTCTTGTCTCTAATTTCAAGTCACTAAGGCTTGGGGCACTGTTTAACCCCAAGGAAGCAGAAAAGCCTACATTCAAACAGAGCCCCTCCCCTGCCGCAATCTGCAGCAGAGTTTCTCAGAGTAACTCTCAGCAGCTGAGAACACCCATAAATATTAAGAGACCTGGGGCAGGCTCAGAAACTGCAAGATTAATGCCACCACTCCGCAGCACAGTACTGTGGCCAGCTAACAGCATGGAGCTATGAACAGAAGCATCAAGCAAGCATGAGTACAAAACAAAGCAAGTTACAAAGCACTACTTCAAGTTTGAAGCAATAAATGCATCAAAGCCTGGGATGCCGATTACTTCACCACAACATGCAAATATAAAGAATTAGATTTTCTCTCCACCCTCTGCCTCTCAAAATGACCTGTCAGCATTGAAGTTTCTATTGAACGAGCCATGTTTATTCTGTGGTTTCGTATCAGAGACAACCATAGCCAGAGGTGGGTTGAGAAAAAAGGTCAGTATTGTCTGATCAGTACCTAGTAATATGCAATACAAGGAATGATCAAATAAGTGTTTCCTTTCAAAAGTGAACACCCCATTTTCAGAATTCATCTAATGAGAAATCATGAGACTCTATAGTGACTAGAGGCTCTTAAGTTCAATGACTTAAGAAATAGGGACACTATAACCTACAATGCCAATACACCACCATCTGCCCCAACTTCATTCTAACCATGATGCACACCTAGGCATTACACACTTGAAAGCAATTCTTGAGTGCTTAAGAACATTGCTGTACAAACCAGCTCAGATTTACTCTTTGTTATGCCCCCACCATTAAATGCTTCTGTCAGGTTTCCACTTGGTTGCCACAATTTTCTGTATTTCTGTTATCTTCATTGACTGTTAGCAGAGCTGAAAATAAACTCCTAACAGGAACAGCGAGATGGAAGCTCATAAGCTGGTGTCACCACCCTGCTAGTGATGCTGCAAACATTTCTATCAAGACAGAGTGATAGTATTCAGGCCTATGGTGTCACTGTGAGAATCAGCATCACATACTGTGATGATAAACCACAGTGGGAAACACTTCCACCAGCTTCTTAGAAACCTAACATAAACGCTACTCTGCTCATTCTCCATTTAGGTCTTTACAGCCGTGAATTATATGCATACTTTCCAACCTGTGAAATTTACTTCACAATAAGTTATCGGTCTCTGTGGTGCCTGAGACAAAGCACATCAAATTACAAAGTATGTGAGCTAAGTATTATGAAGTAGAAACAATTCTTAATTGACTGAAATGAACCATGTGCTAACAGAGGTGACCACCAGGTGTTATACACATAAATGTACAGTCAGATAAGCTTATGAAGCAAAAATATTTTAAAAACATGGGGGGGACACACCTTCTGAGAACAGTACTAACCTTGTTGCTCACTCTCTGCTTCAACTTTTGCAGGACTGGGTGCTACTGGAAGGGGTCGAGGAGGACGAGGCTTCGGAGTTGGGGGAGATATTTTTTTTCTCCCAATGTACTCTACGTAAGTTCCTGGAAAATCCCCCCTCTCCCCTGTAGTTTCATTAAAGCCATTTAACCAGCCAATTTCCTCAGGTTTTGCTTCTTCCCCTTCACTGAATCCAAGTGCTAGTAAGGTACCTTTATTCACAGTTAATATATCCCCTAAGTGCAAGTCAATGTCTTCTTCTCGCTCTTTTTTGTAGTCATATAATGCTCTGTATTGGTATCCTTCAGCACTCATCTTGGCAAACGATTTAACATTCAAAAGTGTTATTGAACAGTATCAAAATGCAATTGTCCAGTTATATTTTATGTACAGAGAGATTCAAGATGTATTAAATGGGATAATAAAAATGTCAATAGCAATGTCTAAGTAATGAAATCCACCAGAAAATCAAAAAGCACCAGGATCTGTCATTTCACTGCTGTTGTTTTTACTGATGTATTTATTCTGAGTCAATGATGGTAGCAGAAGTACATGTTCCACTTCTTCTTTGTTTAGTGATATTCTTCCAATTAGCTCCTCTTCTGGGCTTGCTGACACTTCAGGGTCTCCATATTCAAGTTCAGCCGATTCTTGTAGCCAATCACACCTTCATCAGATGTACTTGCCACAGATTTCCCATGTACTTTACATATTACGCCTCCAAACTCTGCACACATGCTCTTTCTGGAAAGAGAAGAGAAAACCGGTGAAATTATTTTAAATTGTCTTGAGAATTGTGAACTTGGCATTCCAGTTATGGCTTCGGCTTTCTGCAAGCCTGCCAGAGGTTGTGTCATGCAAAAGAGCCCTAGATAACAATAAAATAAAGCAACTTCACAAAATAAAATAAAATAAAAATCTGCCAGCTAACACTTGTTAGGATGCATGCCTAATTACTTGAGCTAAATTTGCACCACTGCAGTATGAGACATGCTTCCCTCTCTGTGGCTTATGGCTACTGAAGTCTCAGAGTGAGAGGGTTAGGCCCTGGAGCTATCCCTGTAGTGCAGTATCTAGCCTGGCAACAAGATTTTACATGTTATCTGCCTGACGACACTCAGCCTCCTCCACAAGAGGTCTACCAGGACAGAGGAGGAGCTCACTGTAATTAGCCCTGAAGCTCACGACTGGGGTAATTCAATCTCCTGCCGTTTATGCCGGGGGTGAGCATGGGCAACAATACCCAGCTCAAACCCTATACTCCTAAAACCTGTTGGAGAAAGGGGTCTTTTCATAATCTGCAGCAGAAGCAAAAAGTCAAGAATTCATTTACTTGATGAGTACCACATTTCTGTTTTCTTAAAGAGGGGCTTCCCCACTCCTTCGTCTTCCATATTTTTTAAAAAATGTGTTTATGGTTTAACACTAGAAAAACAATCAGCACTTGAAACAGCCACACCCAGACCACCTAAGCAGCACTACCAGGAGTAAAGTAGCAGGGTGCGTGATTAAAGTACACTAAAGGCAAAAGGATACAGCCTGAAAACCTGACTCAATGCTGCCTGACCATAAAGTAAAAAGGAAAAATATGACTAAAAGAAAATAATCCATTAAGAAAGCAGTAGCTTAGAGACATAAAGAACAGTGAAAGTTTTCTAAACATTACTTCAACTGCTACTCATTTTCATCTACTTAAAAAGACAAGCCCAATCATAATCTGAAATGCTACACTAGGAACCAGAAAGTGCCAACTACATTGCACTGAAACTCCTACATTACAGCTGAAAAAGAGATCCGAGGAGCCGATGTAATACCAGTAGGTAAAATATTGTGTATTATGCACTTAGTGTACAGAAATCTAAGTTTTTTGAGAAACACTTCCTTTAACATTGTAAAGTGACACCAGTAGACAGGGCTGAAACAGGGAACCTCTGACAGCTCTTTTCCACACCATTTTCTCTAATGTCTCCTTCATCAAGTCCCTGGAACATGACTAACTGACAACCTAAAAACTGTATGAATGTACATGGGCTTCCTTTGCAAGTGAATGACCCTGATCCCTAATTTGTATGCATCTCCTCTTCAGTCCATTAGGTCTAAATATAATTCCCTGCAGCTTATTGCACAACATCTCTTGTAACAGAACACAGAAAAAAAAAAATTTGTAAGTTCTCAAAGAACTTCCTTATCATCCCTTGCAGTCATTTTTTTGCTGTAGGAAGGAATTATCTGAGCCGAAATTAGACTTGTCATTTCAAAAAGCCTACACACAAGTATTTATTTGAATAACCTGCAAATCTATCCATGTGGATTAGGCATCCACTCCCACCAAAATTTAGTAAGAAATTTCTGCAGCCACTTCTGAAGCACTAAACTGTGGTGCTTAGCTAACACTTCCAAATGTCACAGACTTTGCAATTACCATGAAGAGTTTAACTGATATTTCATTCTGACTCTCCTACTGGAGGAAAGACAAGAACTAGAGGGGGAAAAGAAGGAAACAAATCTAAAGCACAAGTATCAATTAAATTGCACAGAAGCCTTTTCAAAAGCATAGGTTTCTCCCTTTTCACATAGGAAGGGAACAAAAAGCACTTACACACCCTACGTCTAAGTATTGAAGCTAATCTAAATGTTTCAAATCAAAACCAACTACATACAGCAAAACCTGCTAGAAAATTACCACTTTGACTACATTAAATACTCTGAAAAATTTATTTTCTTTTTAAGAAAGGTTCAACAAGGGCTCTGCTACAACTACTCATTTCACTACTACTGCCTACAGGCATTTTGGCAGTACACAAAGTAAGTCCTCCTAAACACTGCATAATTTAATTGACTTGACCTACTCCTCTGATCTTTTATTATCAAATGTATCATAGCAACTTTACGGCCACATATTTAAAATTAGTACTTGTGTCTCTTACACTGGAAATGCTCTAATAACATAAGAACTGCTTATGAAGTTTTTAAGCAGAGTTTTAAAAACTCAAAATTTTTATGAGACAGGACAAAAGGTCTGATACACTTGCATATTAGAACAATTAAATGCAGTTGTGGTAGCCAAGTTTCCCTAAATCCAGCTTCCTTGAGGCTCAGAGGTACAGTACCAGTTCATGCTTACTCCTCACCCTTGCAGTACAGGGTCCCCAGAATCCTGTCTCCCGGCTGATCTATGGTTCAGGTACCTGGAGACACGCCCATGGGTAAGTCATGTTGAATTTCTCCAATTTGTGCCTTTTTCTTTTCTCACTCTCAGGTTTGGGAATGAAGGAAGATCCAGATTCAGAACCTTGCAGACATCCCTAATGCAAGGACAAACAGCAGTTCTCCACCTTAGCCTGCTAAAACCGCAGCATCTCCAAAGATCTCTCTTTGACTGTTCTTTACTTACTGCTCTGTTAAGATACTGTACAAACAAATTCTCTTTACTCTGAGAGAAGCTACACAGTCTCCACACTCAAGACATTTTGACTCAATCCGACTTAAGTTGATTGGTCTCAAAATAAATAGCTTGGAGACCATCTGCAGTAGAGGGGAAAAAAACAAACCAAACACTTTAGGCAAGAAACATTGTTATATTTGAGATGATGTATTACTGGCTTTCCACTTGGCTGGTGCAACGGAAAAGGAGGAAGAAGTATTGTCAGAGAATCAAACGCTCATTTGTTTTTTATTTACTGCCTAAAGCTTGATCCCAATAAAAGATTCCTGAATTTAAGCAGCATTCTATTCTCTCAGCAGAATGTTTTGTGTTTGGCATTTCAACAGTTACAAAATTTAAAATTAAACAGAAAGATGCAAGAGATTATTGTAAATTTTAAAAGGAAAAGGAAGGGGACATGAAAGGTTCCACTGAAATCTCCCCAGTTAAAAATTATGTCTGGCTCCCACCCCACTAGTACCCAAGCATTTCCTCCCATACTAGCTAGCATTCCTTTATTGACTGAGAATAAAAACTTCTTGCTCTGAGAATCTGTGTTATTACCAGCCTAACCCAAGCTGTACAGCCTGTGTTACTGATATGGCACCCCTATGCAAGACAGCAAAAATGTTCTCACTTTCATAGTAGCACATTGAATAAACATATCTCTGTGTGCTGACATCCCTCTCATACTTACTCTGAAAATCCCTAGGGAAACAGTGCCTAACACAAACTTCCCTTCCGCTGTGATTATGAGATTCATCAACACAGAACAGACTAAACATACTTTGGGAGACACTGAAATAACAAGAACTGAAGTTTGAGTGGGGAATCTGCTTGGAGACTGACTCTTCTCCCCACTAGGTGTCCACACACCTGTAACTCAAACTGAAGTTATCTCTGAAGTAAAATGCTGCCGCTCTCCCAGCGGAGATGATCAAGGTAAGTACCACATCAGAACATTATTTTCTGCAAGAGCGAGCCACGATAAATCGTGACAAAGGAAACGACTACTTGAAATACCTTTATGCCACTTGCAGTGTTTTAAAGAGTTATTTTGAGCCCGAGGAGATTCTACCACAAAACAAGTTCAAATACGAACAAAAGGAAGAAATACGCTGACTTGCCCGCGGACGCTGTAAAGCACGTCCCGTTCTGAAACATCCCAAAGACTTTATACCGGCTGCAAAGCTAAGAAAGAAGGCAGGGGAACATCCAGACCGCGTTAGAAAAAACCATAAAATAATAAGTAAAAAACCCAGGAAGGCAGAGCAAACCGACCTGGTGTCCCGTAGGGAGGCTGGGAAGCGAACTCCTCCGGCAGCCCCGCACAGCCCGGGCGGGCCCCGCCGAGCACCGCTGTGCCCTGGCCGGAGCCGGGTCCCCTCCGGGTCCCGGAGCCCCTGCCCCGCTCGGGGAGCGCGGCCCCTCGCACAGGGCGCAGGGCAG